TGTATAGTCGTGCCACATTTATTCACTCTTCACATAATTGTGAAGGCCTTTCCAAATAGCAGGTTTAGGTCCTTATCTTTCCTATTAGTCAATACATAACTCAATTTTATTTAGGTAATTATGCTTGAACTCAAGCATTGAGTCTTTGGTTTTCTACTCGTGCCATCTTTTAGCCTGTGATCTAAAATCTGTCAAGAGCAAAATTATTACTTTCCTGACCTATCCAGTTTATAACTGTTTTTATAACCTTACTCATTTTTACTGAGCTCTTTTGCAAATGTTGAACTTAGTAGCTAAGTATTTTGAGATATTTATAGATGGGTGAAGAATAATTGCAATGAAAGTTCATGTAGCTAGAATGCTTGATCTGAAAGCTTCATGAGCAAGGTTGAATATATTCAATAATCTAACTTATCTAGTTAGTTGTTATCTACCAAATATTAAACTATTTTAAAAGTTAGATAAAGTCTGTAAATAGGATTATAGAAACTGAGAGTATAGGAAACTCCCATTAAAAAACTTATAAGCTTCATATGGAAGGTTCCTTTAAGTAACTGTGCCCAAAGCCCCTCTGGTGAGACTACAGAGGAGCACCAGCTTGCATTGCCAGAGTCTGGGCACTGCTGAGGGGCTGTGCTGCCAAATCTGGATACTAGAAACTCAGAAGTCTGTATTCCTCTTCCAGGCTGTTAGAGCTTGGCTACCTGGCACATTTATAAAATCAACAAAAAAGAGTTATGTACAGTTTGAGTGACACTGATCTACATCTCCTCAAAATAACCCATATTCTTACATCACCAACTTGCATCCCTATTGAGAGCATAGGTTCTCTTTCCCTCCCTCGCTCCCTCCACAGTTATTTTCTTTCCTATCTACCATACTGCCTGGGAAGCTATGGCAAGGTTCATACTGTGGGGTTCATCTGAACTCATGAGGATGCTTTGTGAGACCAGTTCCAGTGCAGCCTTTGTAATAGCTGTGCGTCCTCTGGTTCTGACTTGGAAATATCAGGCCAGACCTGAAAACTCAGCAACTTGGAGGGCTGAGATGCAGAATAGAAAAAACTTTGTAATTTGATCATGCAACACCATCAATTAAGTCCTGTAGCAAAGGGAGACACTAAGCCTTATTAGTTAGCATTTTATTAAAGATGTTGCATTGAAAATCCACAAGGATATAATTTGCTTTCTGACAGATAACTTGTTGAATACATCTGTTTATAAATCATGCTCTACTCTTTCATTATAACCAGTGCCAGACTCTTCTTACTTCTCAAAGCTTCTTCACTTACACTGATCGGGATCGGTTCTCACACATTTCCATATGTGCCATACCACTCTATTTGGCTCTGGCCTATGGTACCCACATGCAGGATTCAATAAAATTAGGTCTTTTCTCCAGGAAGCTAGTCTAGTTACCAAAGGATGAGTTTTAAGGAACAAATATTCTGAATCTTTCTTTCTCTCTAATGCTATAATTTAAGGACAAAACAAATTTACCAGTTCACGTTGGCACCATGGGTCCAATAAGGAACATGAGTCACAATAGCAGGAATAAAACATTAGTCTAAGCTCAGCCACTTCCAAAGCCATCACAAACCTTCCTTCCCTGCTTGCCACATCTTGGGGTATGCAAATACTGCTGACATTTCAGGATCCTGCCGACTTCCACCTAGTAGCTTTGGTATGACGCATGGTCCTTGTTTTGTGATGAAATCACTCCTGGAAATTGATGCTAATTCTTATCTCTCCTGATGGTGTGTCATCGACATTCCCCAAACCTCCCACAGTGTATCTAGGATAACCTTTTTAATAGAAAAATTTGAGGATGTCACTCTCCTTTTCAAAATTGTTCCATGGCTTCCCATTGTCCATAGTGGTTTTCAGATTTAATCTGCATCCTAATCTCCTAGCAAGCCTGTTTTTTTTTTTTTTTTAAAAAAGGTTATTCCTAGGCCTCAACCCAAAGATTCTGATTTAGTAGAGGAGACCTTATTAATAATTTTCATTTCTAACAAGTATTCTAGAGCAGTGCTTTTCAAACTCAAATATGCCTGCAAATCGCCTGCGGTCTTATTAAAATGCAGATTCTGACTCAGTAGGTCTGAGGTGGGCTTGAGATGCTGTGTTGTGACAAGATCCCAGGTGATGCTGATGCTGCTGGCCCACAGACCACAGTTTGAGCAGTGAGGCTGTAGAGAATTCTCTTGAGAGTCTGATGCAAATGGTCAAAAACATTGACCTAGACTTCAGGGTAAAATTCAGAGTGCCTAGCAAGGAAAATTTCCAACAGATCCAACTTCCTCTCTCATCACTGATTTTTAGCATCCTGCTTCCTTGCTGCCTTTTCTCCTTAAATTTCTCCCAATCCTGTCCTTTGTGTCCTGGCAATGCTGAATGACACAGACGCTGCAGACATGACAAGATATCACCTGCTTCTATGCCTTTGTTCACCCTCCCTCTGATTATTCAGCAGAGTAAGTTCTGTTCACCTGTTAATTCAGGCCTTGTCAGCATCTCCTCTGTGAAGCTCTCTCTGACCTACTCCAGGCAGATCTGGGCATTCTTTGCCCTACATTTTGATTACACCTTGTACCTGGGCTCTGAACCGTTGTCTTGAACAGGATCACGGGTAGGGCAGTTGTTTGTTGAAATGTTTATTTCCTCTACCTGATTGTAGGCTCCTTAAAGATAGAGGCTCTGTCTTTTCATCTTTGTATTCTAAGCTCCTAAGATAGCACCTGGTGCATAGAAGACACTAAATAAATGTGTGTTAAGTCATGGATTATGTAAATGAACCTTCACTATGGTGAAATGGAGGAAAAATTCTCTCCATTTATCTATGTTAAATGTCTCTGGCTCTTTTATCTAACTTCCCTCTTTGAGTTCATTGGAGCCCTACTTGCTGTGGCACATGTCCCTCAGTGAATAAGTTATAAAACAATTTGGGTGACACTGAGCTAGCTGCACCACCTCAAAATAACCCTTACACTTAGATTCACAACTTAAGTTCCTATCCAGGGCTTAGGTGTTGTAATTCTCTCTCTCCTCAGAGTTATTTTCTTTATGATCTAGCATATTGCTTGGGGAGTGGTTTTATTTGTTTGTTTTTCTCTTTGGATAGTTGAGACGAAGGAATGGATGAGTGAAGGAAGGAATGAGGCTAGATGGGTGTCAGATCCAAAGCCTCTGGTCATTATCTTATGTGCCTCATCAGAATATGCCTGCATTGGTTGATTTCAAAATAGAAAGACAACTTTTATTCTCTCCAGGGACCTTCACTGATCAAGCCAAATATCTTGTCTATGAATGAAATATTTATTTTAAAAGGTGGTTTTCCTTTTTGTATTTTTTATAACTGCTTTTGTAGCACCAAATTCTTTTGTTTTCTCTTTATATGTTTCTGGCTGCTTGCATTTAAAATCCTCATTACAGTCTTCCTTGAGTCTTGTATACATTAAAATAAATAAAAATGTACTAACAACTTCACCATTTTGCATTTTTCTTTACACTTTTTGCTTGTTTCATCTTAGTATGGACTCTATTCTGATACTGATTATCTTTCCAATTTAAGAATATTCTATATCCACATTAACTGCTTGCTGATTCTGCAAGAGTTTTATCCACAGGGACTTTGTTTGTTACAGATAATTGCATGGACAAGGTCAGACATCTTTGTCAACACTGTCAGAAAGTCAACATCATAACCAAGAATTAAAATGTAATTTTGAGGCAGGTATTTAAGGAATATCTGCTTGCTTATCTTCCAGCTAGTCCCCCTAAAAGTACCTTTATATGACATGATTTGCACCACACTATTTTTTTAAGGAATGCATAATCAGAAATGCATTTGCTTTTTGTCAAAAACAAGTCATTTGTTTTTAATCCATGTGTACACAGACTATATTTTGACAACCATAATCTAGAACTGATTTATTGCTCACCTGTGTTTTCTTTCTACTTGGAAGTCTGCACATTTTACTAAGAAATGAGTCAATGATACTTCCCATTTGTTATTCATATCAATGTCAACAAGTAATTCCATCTGGAGTTTTAAATTAATCAAGAAAGTTTCCATCAAATGCTCAAATTTATCTCAGTGATCTCAAATGGCTTATATGTGATTATATTTATCATTCAGTTTAATTCCATAAATACTTATGGCACATTAAAGAGAGGGAATAATAAACTACAGTTCATCCAAAGATAAGTTCTTAGGAATGCTGAGGTCTGTTGATTTTCTAGTAACTGAAAGTTCTAGGTCTTTTCAATATATGACTTTCTATGAATTTTTGTTAGGCTAGATCTGTCATTTCAGAAATATATAAATTTCTATGAGTAAATATAAAGTTTTACATTTATCTGTCTTCTATATTTCAACTTACTAGTTTGGGATCAGTCTATGTTCCATACTCTTATTTTTAATTGTAACATCCAGTGTATTATTTATTCCTGCCAACTGAAAAATGTGATAAACATGCCTTTTGCTCTACCCAAATTGTTGAAAAACACTCAATCATGACAGGAATAGTTACACAGAAGGTGCCACAGGAGACCTCCCTTGTGTTTTGTTGCATTACTAATTCTTAACCTTGAAGAGAGCTTACCTTCCTGAAATGTGTCCCAGAAGAAACAATAAAATATGGCTTAATTTTTTTCTAAAGCTACTATCCTAGTGAGAGCTATACTAATATGCTGTTGAGAACAATTTTTTATTGAAAGTCTTCTCGGTAAATGCAAATTCATTTTTTTCCTATTTTTGTAGGAAAGAATATTTCTCTAAGAATAACCATCCAGTTTTGTTTTTTTGTTTCTTTTTTTTTAATGCAGTGAGTATATTGACACCTTAGTCTCTTTTGAAAACCTTCCAGTTTTCATTTATAGATGACACTTTATTTGTTTTACTCATTAATGGAGTAAACCATCAGTTGATTTGTTTTGTTTTGTTTTGTGATTACCTAAATGCAAACATGAATTTATTTCAGTATTTTCACTTTTCAGAATATTTTTCTCAGCACTTGGGCGAGTATGAGAATGTGCTAGCGGCACTTGAAGACCTAAATCTTTCCATCCTGAAGGCAATGGGCAAGACAAAAAAAGTAAGGAAATGTTTATTTTCTATAAAATCTGTTCTTTGGACAAGATTTTTTTAAATCATACTTATTTCCTAAAGTATCATAAAAATATACATTCATTTTTATCACTAAGAATTTATTTTTCTTGGTATTAAATGAGCTATTGTATTCATTCACAATACAATTACAAAATGCTTACTAGGTAACAGATACTGTGCTTTGTGCTTGAGGATACAAAGAACTGTTCAAGCAGCTCTTATTTTTGTGGGGAGACAAGTGTGTAAACAAGAAATTACAATACAGCATGAGAGACAGAAGCACAAGATGGAACACAATTTATACTGGAGGAAGTGACACTGGAGGAATTAGAGATAAGGAAAGTAGTTATAGCTAGGCAAAGGACAACCATACACACAGAACAACATGTGCAAAGGCCCTGTGTTGGTAGGGGCACAGGGCATTCCAGGAAATAAAGATGGTCAGTAAGGCTAAAGTCCAGAAAACCCAAGAGTGGCATGGTGTGAGATGTCACTGTGGGCATGATGTTGTCAGCAAATGTAAGGATTTAGATGTATATCCTAAATGCCAATAAATCAGCCACTATTTTAAGCAGAGATATGAAAACTCATGCAATCTTTTGAAATTTAAGACCATACGAGAATTAGCTTGGGATTAGGATGGAGAACATGGGGCAGGAGAATCAGGAAGATGGGTGAGAAGGGTAGTTCACTAATCCAGGTGAGAGATGTTAGTAGTTTGGAGGTGTTGGCAGAAGATAACAGAGAAAAGTAAATGAATTGCATATATATTTGAGATCCTATCAGTAGAACTTGGAGAAGGATTGAGTATGGGGAATGGGAGAAGGAAGTGTCGAGGATGAACCCTAGTTTTTAGCTTGTGTACCTGGGTAGTGGTGCTACCTAGACAGAGAATGCTAAAAGAGGAACAGGTTTGAGGGGTAAGATCATAATTTCTTTTTTAGACATATTGAATCTAAGCTGACCTTAAGACATCTAAGGAAAGTCAAGTAAGCCATTGGGTACATAGATCTCTATCTGAGAGGTGAAGTCTAGATTGGAGATATAAAACGTATGAATTGTCAGCACTTAGGCAAAGGATTTGAAGGACATCATCTGGAGAGAGGATGTAAAGTAAAAAGAGGAGGGGACCTAACACTGAACTTCAAGAAACTTCAACTTTTGTTGGTGGGGAGAGGAGAATGAGCCAGCAAGAGTCTGAGAAGGAGTAGACAGAAAAATGGGAGGAAAGCTTGGCGAGTGTCATGTCCAGAAGTTGAAGAAGAGAGTATTTCATGAAGTAGAGAGTGGGCAATAGTGTTGACTCTGTGGGGGGTCAGAATTGGCCACCCTGAAATGTGTCTCTTTGGCTTGATTTTTATTATTATTAGTAGTAGTATTAGTATTTTTGGTGAGGAAGATTGGCCCTGAGCTAACATCTGTTGCCAATCTTCCTCTTTTCGCTTGAGGAAGATTGTTGCTGAGCTAACATCTGTGCCTATCTTCCTCCATTTTGTATGTGGGACGCCGCCACGGCATGACTTGATGAGCGCCATGTAGGTCCACGCCTGGGATCCAAACATGCCAACCCTGGGCCGCCAAAGCGGAGCCCATGAACTTAACCACTACACTACCAGGCAGCTCCCTGGCTTGATTATTTTTAAAAACAAAAGACTCTGAAAGAAACTCTGATCTTCCCCTAACTGACTAAAAGAATTTAAGATAAAAGGCCTGTTCTAGGAAGGAGCTAACACCATAAGATAGCTGTGGTGTGAGGTAAACTAGATGTAAGAGACAGGAAGACACTAGCAAGTCCATTTGTATCAAAGTTCTGTCTCTCGGGTCCCATTGTCTGTAGATGGCCCAGCAAACATCTGTCTACCAAACATCTGCTTTTCCATCTCCATGTGAATTGCCTTCCTCCCCTCTGAAGTCCCAAACCACTACCCCCAACACCCTCCTTTGTCTTTAGCTGAAGATGGTGTTTAAGGTGGAAGCTTCGGCCATTCTGGCGAGTTACTCAGTTTTCCTGGGTTTTTCCCATGTATACGTGTTATTAAACTTTGTTTTATTTTCCCCTGTTATTCTGTCTCATGTCAATTTAGTTCTTAGACCAGCCAGAAAGACCTAGAGGGTAGAGGAATAGTTCTTACTTCCCTACAACTGCTATGGAGAGGTCAAGAGAGATGAGAATTAAGGTTCCCATTGTTAATAAGTCAAAAAAGACATTTTAGGATGTAATGTACATAACCAAAAGTAAAAATGTTTTAAAATATATATGGAACATCTGGATAAAGACAGTAGATTTATACATACAAGGAACCCCACTTGCTCCTGAAGCCCCATGAAAAAGACTGAAATGAGACTTTTTAAATGGGGAAATTTATAGCAACAAAATTTGGAAACCAAAAAGCAAATGGACAACAGTCAGGTAGCTGACAGCAGACCTGAGGCATTTGACTTCTTGGCCTGTGGTGGAAAAGCAGAAAGTCACCAGCTTGGTTTGTAGAAAGACTCAGGAATTGGTGGCACTAGTTGCTGCTGAAACAGGAGGGGGATGGTAGGGCTAAAACAGGGTGACCTCTTGGAAATCTAAGTAAGGAGCAGTTAGATCCCCAGATCCCCTGTTCCTCTCTGCCCAGCTGAGCAACTGCCCCTTTACCAACCCAGGTAAAAAACACGATGACTTGTTTTCTGAAAAAGTAAAAGAAAGGCTCTCTGCCCCGAGGTGGTATCAGCCACACTTGGGGGATTAAGTAGAAGTTCACATATTAAATGACAAGACCTCCAGCCAACTTCTCTAATTTAACTCCCAGAGTGTTGGCAACCAGGCTTACGTTCTGCAGACAGAAAGAGGTTGTCTTTGAGAAATCGAACCAGTACAACAGAAAAGATGTAAAGATTCTCTAACGGTACAGCTCAGCCAGATCTCCCTCTTCTCCCCTCAATCCTAATCAGCTTGTTTGTGGCCCATCCTTAAATATGCACAGGAAAGGCAGAGACCAAAACAAACAAAAAAAGAGGAGGAAGTGGGAGGGAGGGAAGGAGACTGAGGGGTGGAAGGAGTGAGGAACTATTATAGGGACTATACAGCAGATGAAAACTTCAAAATAGTACCCTTAGCCTCCTCAGAGAGATACGAGAAGATGTTGCATCCATGAAGCAAGAGTAGGGTGACAAACAGAACAGGAAAGAGCTCTTGGAAATTTAAACAAGAGGGCAGAAATAAAGACTTAACAGAATTCTGGAAAATAAAGTTTAGAAAGTCTCCCAAAAAGTAAAGCAAAAAATAAAGTATAAGAAAATTGGAACATCAGCTGAGGATGTCCTATATCCAAATAACAAATTCCAGAAAGAGAAAAGAGAAAAATGGAATCTGAATACATTTTCTCTTGACCTCTTCACGAGTTTTTGGAAACTGCATAAAATTTCATCCCTTGGGAACTTCTCTCCAGAAATGGTAATTTTTAAAACCTATGCTTGGTGTGGCTGGCTTCTCTCCTCATTCCTGAGCTCCCATTCCTCAGAAAGGTCTTCTCTGCCCACCTTATCTAAAAGAGGTTACCTCTACTGGGGTGTCTTGTGTTCCTTGCCGGCAAATATCAGAATGAGTAACTATGTATTTATTTGTTTTTGTTATCTGTAAAGTGGGAAAAAGGCAGTGTCTTTTTCGAATACCCAGAGCCTAGCACAAGACCTGACAAAATGCACACAATAAAAATTTATTGATTGATTAAATGGATATTCATACAGCTCCAAACGCTAGATACTTTTGCTCCTGAAGGGAGAATTGCTCCTAAGTCCATTTAAGAAGCTTTCAGGTTTCCTTTAATTGGAAGGAAAAGCAAGTATATAATCTTCCTTATTGTCTCACAAATTGCATTAAAATCATGTTCTTTTCCTTGTGTTAACACAATGAGGCTTTGTGGGATTGAAATCAAGGTCAGCCTGTTATTTTGGTCTCTTAGGTACAAAATCTTTTTCTTAGCACTGACCCTTAAAAATACATTTGATCTGTATAATCATACTGCTTAATCAAGGAGAAGGTCTTTGGTTTAAAAAAGAGAAATGGTCAAAAATAAAATTAGAAAAGGTTCTTCGTGTGATAGCTCAAAGATGAGTACAATGCAGAAGTTTCAACATTTTTCAAGCCACTGTTGAACTGACGTCTTCTCCAAACTGTCGAGCACAGTGAACCCTTCTGAGTGAGAAATCCAGCATTTCTTTTGGAGAATCTCTCTATATTTTTAGCCAGATGAAAAGTCCTGTCTCAGTAGGAAGGGCTGACTATTCTAGGTTTTTATGAAAAATGAAATGCAAGCCATTTCTGGTCTGTCTTAGCAGGCAGTGCCTCTGTCTGCCGTATCAGAGGGTGGATAAAGTGGGTTCCAGCTGCTTCACGTAAGCGCCAGGAGGTGACTCAGGACAGACACAGACTGTTAGTATTTTCCTCTTCCTCCCTCAACCCCAGCCTCTTGATAGCTCCTCAAGGGTTACCTGGATTGTTTTACTTTGCTTATTTTTCAGAACAAACACCATAAGTCATATTCCAAATGATCATTCGAAAGCCCAGAAGGTAGCGAAAACCAGAACTCCCTGCCCGACTTTGAAATTTCACAAAAACGTTGGGCTTGTCAATTTGTTTTTCTTCTTTCCGCAGTGGGGTGATAAGCTAACTGACATCATTAGTATGTGATGTGCTTGTTATCTTGAAGCAAATGTAGAATTCCGATGCTCAAGCTAAAATTCATCTTGTGCTATGTTATATAAATATGAATGGGATTCCCTTAAGCCTTATTGCTAAGGCTTAAGAGGAGACTATGGTAAGCTGAAGTGAAGAATGGTGTTCTGAAAATAATCACATAGGGCCCAGCCGCATGGCCTAGGGGTTAAGTTCGGCGCACTCCACTTCGGCGGCTGGGTTCGGTTCCTGGGTGCGGACATATACCAGTCGGCAGCAGTCCTGCTGTGACGGTGACCCGCATACAAAGTAGAGGAAGATAGGCA